CAAAATAAGATGAACCTGTATTTATTCAACAACTGAAACTAATGTAGTTACCAAAAAACACGATAACACTGTTTTAACATGCACAGAAAACGGTAAGACCTGTAATTCTGAGCTTTGTGACCAGTCTTGTATAGCAAAGCTAAAGGGGACATGTTTGGGAAATACGCTCGGTGAGGAAATGCATAGTTTGCTTTAGGGGAAAGCTTCTTCTGTTTACACTGTTTTATCATTATAATTGGTATTGCATTGCTGTTTATTCTACACGGTTTTATGCACTTTTTACAACATACAGTTCACTTCTTTAAAAAAAATATAAAACATTCACCACAATTCAGGAAGCTATACTATTGTTAATTTCATCTTATTAGGCGAGCCTCTAAGATCAGGGGTGATTGAACACGCCCAGGGTATACTTTGTTTGCTGCTCTCCCCTCAGGCAGGTTAAGGATGTATTGCACTCGGATTAGCAAGGTAAGAAACAGTCATTTCCGTGTGCAGTTGCTAGCTTATTAAATCAATGACTGTTTTAGTGTAAGGGATTAATAAGAGGTGGTGTAGGGTTCAATTTCACTTATATAAGAGGTTTTAGGATGATTGATCCGATTATTATTATTATTGTGTTTATTTACTTTTATACAGGATTTTTGACGCTGTTACTGGCGTGGATAGATGTTAAAAAGATTTCCGCTTTGTCTTGTATACAACGATATTAAAGTATCTTATCTTTATCTGTGTAATAATGATCCTTTTAATCTGTAACAGAAAAAAATAAAGTGCTACAAATCTATATTCGTGATATAAATACCTAGTATACCTTTATACATGTGTGATCATCTTAAGGTGCCAATACACTTGTCAGATTTGCACAGTGTGTGGGGCTGTCGGCTCCCTTTCAGGCGGCGTTCCTCCATCAGCTGATGGAAGGTGTCGATCATAGCCAGCAGCCAATGAGTCGCCCACTCTGATCGGGTATTCTGACAGCTGTCAGCGACAGCTATCAGAATACAATGTAAACAGCGTCGACACGTTGTTTGTGTTGATGGAGGAATTGGGTCAATTTTTTTCGTTCAGCCAGCGGGTTGAACAGAAAAAATTGATAGGTGTATGGCCTTAGCTTCTCTCTCTATTAACACAGTGAAGGAGTATCATGTTTTATTCCTATACAAATGCAAAATATTTTGCAGCTCTTTACAACATTTATACCATAGCAGAATACAGAGTAACTGTTAAAGCATAAATACACTCTCACAAACATATTACTTTACCAAGTGAAAGTTACAAATGTTTTCATTGGTCACATGGCCTCTGCCATGAGTCTACTGGAAAGTGTCTGGATGTACCAGAACTCTCATCCTCCTCTTTGGCCCCATGCCAGTTTTATGACTGTTGCTGGAGGGAATAATAATTGCAAGCAAGAGAACAGTAAGGTGAACATTTTAGTACTCTATACCCTTCTCTAACCATTACATATGTTTTTTTCTTTATGTAATATGTAATATAAGTATAGTTCTGCTTTAAGAGGAACTTACAAAGTAAGAGGTTATTGAAAGTGTGATACACAGTGTTCAGCAGTAATGAAGTGGTACAGCAAACATTTTAAAGACCACTTGTGAGAAATAACTCTTCAAAACTGAAGAAGCGGAAAGAATGGTGTGTATGATAAGAGCTTGAATCTGCTTTACATTGGATAGCTATAAAATATAGAGTTCAAACACGTTGGTGTTTAGACAGTGTATTGTTGGAGATTATTTTCCCTGTACTGGCATACTTATGTAGGTATAAGCCCTCGTTCACACCTGAACGTTTTGTAGCGCGTTCTACGCTCGACAAACGCTCTACAAAACGCTCAAAAATATAAATCCCATTGTATTCAATGGTCTCGTTCCCACCTTGGCGTATTTCCGCCCGTCCCTAACGCGCTACAAAACGGCCCACGCCTGAAAAGGTACATGTACTACTTTGGGCCGTTTTGTTGCGCGTTTCCATTGGGATACAGCCAAGTAGCCTTCGGAAACGCGCATTTGTCGCACGACTTCTTTACCGCGAATCGCGGTTAAAAAAACGCACGACGATCGCGCATATGCAGTACGCCTAGGTGTGAACGAGACCTTTGTGTTGCATTTAGTGAGCAGTGCAACTTTTGGTGCAGTTACACTCTTAAGGTGCCCATACACTGCACGATTATCGTACGATAATCGTATGCGATCGGTTTTTCGTACGATAATCGAGCAGTGTGAACGGAGACGTGCGACCGTTTCTACTGTACGGTCGCACGTCTTCTGTCGAACCAGCATGTTCGAAAACCAGCCGGGAATCGTACGATTCTCGGCTGGTTAGAACGGTGCTCGGAAGATAAATGCTGAATGGGCCGGTGTGCGCACGCGCACACTGCCCGTTCAGCATTGCGGTCATCGGAAGCCCGCCCCTCAGGGGGGCGGGCTTGCGATGATCGAGAGTGCGATCTGCCTGTCCAAGATAGGCAGATCGTACGTTTTTTTAATCCCTTTACAACCATCGCAAGACTAAAGTCTTGCGATGGTTGTAGAGTGTATGGCCACCTTTAAGGTAGACACCTCCTGCTCATATACTCAACCACACCCAATCCAGCAAGGTATTCCCAACCAGGCCCCAACAAGCACTGTGTATTTGAATAGATTTATTTAGACTTCTGAGACCAAGCTCGTACTCGGAAGTCCATACAAATCGATTAGACATGTTTAGGCCCGGCTAGGAACATTTTAACATGTGACCATGCAATCGAGTGTGCAATATCTAAGGGACATGCGAGTATAGGGCTGCAGACCTACCATATAAGTGAAACTGCACCAAAGGTAAAATTACACTTTAATTATGCTGAATATCACTATAAGTACACTCTAAACTCTGAAGGGTACATACATATTTAAATAACAGAAAGCCCGAATCTTGACCAAAGAACTGACATAAATAAGCTAGGACAATGCTGAGTGGCTAGTCATGATAGAAAAAGGAGCAATAACTAAATGTTAAAGCCCAAATTTAAAACGAATATTGTCCCCCGGGCAGAGTTAAAAATAAAAAAGCATCTCTGGCTGGCATAATCATCTGCTCTCTGGTGCTGCCACCGACAGTACTTTTCTGTGCTACAAAATGTCATCAGTCTTCCAGATCAAATGATACCCAGCTGAGCACACACTGTATGTGCAAGTCTTCATGGACCCACTCCCTGAGGGGGTCCATGGTATCCTGCATTCAGAGTGTATTTGATGCAGAGAGTAGCGCTGATGTGACATCAGTGCTTCTCTCTGCATCATTCAGAACCATCCAACTGCAGGAAATGATTGGCAGAGAACCTTGCACATCTCATCTCTTGGCCTAGAAAATCGTTAGTATAAAAAATTTTTTTTATAAAGCATAAAATACAGCCGAGGGGAAGGGGCCACTGTGGGAGTGACTTGAAGAAATGTCACCAGCACACCAAAAATCCTTTCAGGATAACCATTTGTTCATTTAATAAGAACCATGTCAAGTAAAACAAGAGCTTTCAGGGACACGCATGGTCCCTTCATCAGGCTTAACGTCATTGTTAAGCCTGATGAAGTGACCCTGTGTGGCACCGAAAGCGCTTGTTTTACTTGACATGGTTCTTATTAAATGAACACATGGTTATCCTGAAAGGATTTTTGGTGTGCTAGTGACATTACTGCAAGTGATTCATGCAACTAGCGGTGCCTCCCGCAGTCACTACAACAGGGGTCGGCAACCCCCGGCACGCGTGCCCGGCTTGGCACGCGAGGCCACATCGGCTGGCACGCAAACTAATTTTTTTGCATTTGAGAGCTTGCTCGAGCCGGCTGTCAGATTGAAGAATGAGTTTAACTTATTATTAGCAGTACAACTATGAGTACAAAAACTGAAATTTGCTAATACCATGGTGCACTATTGTTCAATGGCACTCGGTTGTCTGTTGGTTGCAAAAATGGCACTCGGTGTGTAAAAGGTTGCTGACCCCTGCACTACAAGCACCCTCCCCTGCCGTTGGGGTATACGGTAAGGAGTGCAACAAGTTTTTCTATATACACTGTGGAAGTGAGCCTTGAGTTGAGCTTTAGCGGTCTCATTTAAATGTGCATATTCACAGTGGCAAAGGTAAAGATTTGTTCTCTAATATACATAACATTTTCACTGCAATATGGATACAGGTGCATCCACCATTGCAATGATATGCAACACATTGAAATTATTATAATGGCTTGCTCTACTGATATTCATTATGAACTGCATTATAAAGATTAATGATTTTGACATATTCAGTTTGGTTAATTTACAAAAGGAAACATGTTAACCTGATTGGTTGATACAACACACAGGGGGGAATTTATCAAAACTGGATCAGACAAAATCTGGAGCAGATTTGCACAGAAACCAATCGGCTTCTCTGTCTCATTTTTAAATCTTACTTGAGCAAACTGAAGAGGGAAGCTGATTGGTTGCCCTGGGCAACTGCTCCAGATTGTGTCTGCTCCAGTTCTGATAAATTCACCCCATGGTGTTGTTATGTGAATCCAGTATTTGTTTAATGTGTCATGGGAGGAGTAGTGGTTGTCAAACAGGTAGGCCATTAAATGAGGAGTAGCTCTATATGGGGGGAGTATGTTCATAATAGACAATTCTGTAAGGGTGTGCAGTCCTCTTTTTTGACTCTGTCAAGTACAAGTACATTTACTCTTATACAGATCTGCAATTTTCAGTTCTAGAGGTATTCTACTTTATTGTTGACTCTGATAGAGGCACATTGCTACTATGGCAGCTCTGCAGAATATGTCACAACATAAATGTGCTTCTATTACAGAGCCTTAAATGTTCAGCAAGTACTGATTGTGCAGCAGTGACCTGTTATGAAGCCCCAGGTTGCTTGCAGTGTTTGCTTTAAATCTAAGTAGTTCTACGGTCTGAGTGAGTCACCATAGAGTATATAGCTGTGTATCACGCTTACAGATCATTTTGTTTTTGTTTTACAGTTACTTGGGCTGTGCGAGCTGGTGAAAGATGATGCCCTGAAGGTAGTTTCCGCCTTTAACATCCCTGATAACACCATCCAAGCTCCCATTGCTGGCATTCCCAACCCAAGAGCTCCATGGGCATATTATCCTCAACCACACCAGGAAAGAGACAGCAAAGTGCCAAAGAAAATCAGTGCAAAGCTTTAACTTTTTTCAGGCAAATGTCATAAGGAGAAAAAAGTCAAGCCAATTGGCGCAGGCAGATAAATTTCAAGTTATCTTGCTCTTATCGGAAGAAAATCATTACATTACCTTTATAATAAAGACTTGATATTTTCTGTAATTTTAAATACTGAAACAATAAGCACAGCTAACAATGGTGAACTAAGACATGAGGACTTTTAATTTCATTTTTTATAGATAGATTTATAATAATAAACAGAAATGTAAAAATGAAATGAAGGTATAAATACTGTAACTGTAAAGAAAGTTTCTGTAAAAGGTATATGATATTATTAATGTTTTACTGTACATCTTGTATGACAGGCAATGTTTCATTCTGTATTTAAAAACTGCCATGGAAGTCTGGGGATTTTTTAAATGGGTACATCGATGTCAAAGAAATACATCATGGTCACAATGATTACGAATTAACAAGTGGAAGAGATAAAGCTGAAGTTCACTTTCCTTATGGTAACAGTGTAAAGTTCATTTATCTGGGGGACTGTACTAGACAGAATTACATACTTGCCTTATTTATCGCTCTTGCAGGCATCTTCCCTGCCAAATGTCTGGTCCTCCAAAGCTGCAGGAAGCAGCTCATACATTATCTCGTACAATGTAGGACCACCAGTCCTGACCGGAGTCCTGCTTCAATTCTCCAAGTTTTATTGGGTCAGCTAGAATTTTGTAAATGTTTGTCACTTTAGTAGAGAGGGTGAATCTACCGAGCAGGCCCACAGCAATATAAACTTGACCAGGATTCTAATCTGCCCCATCTCTATTGAAAACTGAAACGCTATTGAAAAAAAAAAGTTGTGATATATACACTTTAATAAATCAAAGTGTCTAAAATGAAACGTGGCCTGATTTTTATTAACTGCAGTCAAGCAACACACCTAGGTCACCTCCGCGCCCCCAGCCTGTCAATGGTCAGTAATCAATGCTGAATCCAGAGCAATAAACACAAGTGATAACATTGCATTTTATTTTCTCAATCATGTAACAGTTCCAGGGTGGCCTGCAGTGTTCCCTCTTAAGGACCTAACAGCCTGGAATGTTGCCCCCCAGCTTTGGTCCTCACATTTCTTGGCTCTGTCAGGTGTGGCCCCTCTCTCGGGTTTAACGCTGCAGGATTTAATTGCAGTTTGCAAGATGTTATGGGCCAAACTGCAATGCACGATATTCAGCCGTGTCTCGTCCTAATAAACCTCTGATGATCCCTATAGAGCAGGGGTGCCCATAAGGTCAATTTGACAGCCAGCGCCTCTCTCTCCCCTCACCGCTCGGCCTTAGTTCTGTGACAGCGGCTCTGTCCACCCCCCCGCCTCTGCTATGGAGAGCATGGGGGATCCAGAGGAGAAGCTGAGCCCCCGTGTGCGTGGCCGAGCTGCAGAGGATTGGTACATATCAGTGATATGTACCAATCCTCTGTGCAGGACAATCACTCCAGTGTTTGTAAATAACTGGGGACACATAGTACTATGTGTCCCCAGTTATGAATGAACAGGGTGTGATTTACATCACTTCCTTTTCATTTATGAGTTTTTCAATGGGGAGAAGAACTCTGTACAGAGGCTCGTCCCCATTCAGAAACTGGATGATAGTAAAATATTTTCTGAATGAATGGGAAGCCTCTGTGCTTACCATTCATTTAGAACAGAGGCTGTAGAAAAATAGTAAAAAAAAAAAATGTAAATAAAAAATGAAATAAAATTAAAAATTCAAAAAAAAAAAAAATTATCGTTTTTTTTTTCTTGCTTCGGGCGCAAAAGGAACTGGCTAGTGCTATGCTCCCGCAGTGCTGGTGCGGCTGCTGGCTGAATGTGTCAGACGCTACAGATGGAAAGGGGCAGGACACCTCTCCCCATGTGCAACGTCGGCCACACGAGCACCACGGGAGGACAGGACGCCGGGGCCTCTAGGACACACTGGAATGTAAGCCAGCCGACTCCCTGCGTTCAGGGGCGTGTGGTTGTATTGAAGTCAATGGCACCGCAGCCATGCCCCCCGCCCACAGTGTGATCGCCCGCACCCGGAACGCAGGCACATTGGTGCCTTCATTCCTGTCCAGTGCGATCTGCAAAAATAGTGCACGGATAATTTTTGCGGAATTAATGTGCCTGAGTTCCGGGTGCAGACGATCGCACTGTGGGTTAGGGGCCTGCCTGGCTGCGGTGCCATTGACTTCAATGCACCCTCACGCCCCTGAATGCAGGTGTTTTTTACGTTGGTAGATCTCATTGAGCCCCTCATTTGAAACACCGCGGATGTCAACTGGTTAAAGTGAAACTAAACTCAGGAGTTAAATCTTAAAAACCGTGATGGATTACAATCTCACGTTTAGTGTACTAATTTGTATTGAGATTGAAATCCATCACAGAAATTAGCTTGGAGTGGTGGCAACTTTACAACACACACAGGGACCATGGGAAACAAAAGTAGCCACCCTCCAGATGGAAGGACAGTGTCAGCACCAATTCAGAGATGATTTGAGGATCTACAGCCGAGTGATACACAAATAAGATACATTGTTGTTAATAGTTAAGGTACTTGAATTCATTTTTAAGATTTAACTCCAGAGTTTAGTGTCACTTTAAAAATCCTACCTAGCTTTCCCCTTCTATGTAGTATTACATAGAAGGGAACTGTGGAGTTTTGGTTACCATACATAACGCTGTCTGTATTGGGCTAGAAGATTTCATTTGTTGTTGTCTAGTTGTACACTAGATTTTAACACTGTCCTAACAAAAGGTTAAAGATTTCAAGCCTTCTGTGGTACATTGTATGTTAATGCTCTTTTCCTCAGTTTGTCCCTCTAATTGCACTTTGAAATTATTCAGAATAGCTTGCAGCCCCTATGTATAAACCTGCTCCAAAGAAACAACTAAAAGGTAAGAAGTATTTCAAATCTACACTTTAAAGTGTATTTCCACTTTTGCAGTCAAATTTGAGAAAACCCCTCTATATGTTTACACAACATACAGAACAAAAATTGAAAAAAATATATTTCTTCCCTTTAAGATGTTTTGGCAACATGGCTCCGTCCAGGTTTTTCTCAGCACCTTCACAGTGATCTGTCTTTATAGAAAGATTGAAATTTAGGGATTGTGTTTCTCTCATTAACATACAAATGGAGAAGCCAGACTTTTAATCCTTCAACCCCTCTTAACACTACAAAGAAGGAGAAGCAATTAGAAATGTTAACCCTTAAGAAGCCAAGAGACCCTAACCCAAGCAAAAGCAATTTAAACTGAAAGAAACATTTTTAAGTATTTTTAGCTTCTGTGATGTGAATGGGAACATGTTACATAGCAACATAGTATGTGAAGTTGAAAAAAGACACAGGTCCATCAAGTTCAACCTTTGTGTGTCTGGGTGTGAGTTGTGCGTGCGTATATGAGTCCCTGTGTGGTCTAGTAGTTAAGAGTACCTGTACCCCTGTATGTTACGGTCTCTTAGAAAGGTATCTAATTGAATTTTGGATTATTCAAGATTCTCTGCTGATACCGCTGCTTGTGGCAGAGAGTTCTAAAATGTAACTGGTCTAACTGAAAAGAAGCCCCTATGCCCTTTATGCTTAAAACCAATGTTGGGTGGTGGCCTCTAGTCCTTTTTATGTAGTTTACTGTAACAAATATAAAGCAGGTGTTATCCCAATTTGGCTGCAAAAGTGGAAATACACTTTAAGAATCCTATATATAAATGGCTGGCATCACCCTAGAGGCACAGGTCCCACCCCTCTATGTTTCTGCTCTTGCTCTCTGCACTACTTGCTGAGCTGAGAAATGTTGGAAATAGGAGGGGGGTTTTTATGATTGTTAGTGTCCACATCTTCCTGTAGGCAGCAGTATAACTTTCTCTGAATCCTGTGTCCTGCAATGAACTCTAAGAATGGGATTTTACGGTTAATACAAAAATCCTGTTATTTACATTTTAAGCCTCTATTAAAGCGAGTATACCTTTATCTTCTGTTCAATGTTGTTTGACAAGTCCGAGTACTATCAGACTGCAACATCCAGTTGGAAGACAAATGCTCAAATGCTTGGTCTTTTCAGGTAACAAAAAAAAGTCTGCCTTAAAGAGGCCCTATCACCAACTTAAACAAGCACAGAAATAGTGCGTATTTGAAATGCTTATTTGTAGAGTTTTTCTTTTGATAAACACTGTTTTATTTACTTGCGATGCACCTGAACATGTTAGAAAATTTGACTACTCCAGGAAAAATCAATGCCCTAGTATAGCTCCTTGTCTCCTTGCATGTCATAGCTCCTCCTCTGCTGGGGGAGGAGCAATTTTACAGTCGTGAGTCTGTTGGGACTGCTGACACCACATCAAGATGGCGGCACCCAGCAGCAGACTCGCATCTTTTGGATGTCTACACAAGGTACGTTTTTACAAGTAAACAGCATGCATAAAATACGTTAAATGCACATATAATCTTATGGAAAGTTTGTAGTTGAAAGGAAAGCTCTGGTGACAGAGTGAATACAGGTCCTAACAATGAACTAAACTCCCACATTTACCACATGATAAACCTGTTGCTTTTCCACCTCTTAAATAATTTTTAAAGCATTTGAAATACATTTCACTTTGCTTCACAGTAGGAACAGCCCTGCGCTCTGCAGGTCATTCATTCAAATGGTGAAAAGGGAAAGCCTTAGGGCACACACGTAGGCCATCAAAAGAAAATGTAGCCAGCAGTGGCAGGTGTCAACTAATGCACTGTGCCCACCGACTATGAAATGTGAACATTGGCAAAACTGCCAACTAGTGCCTTGCATATTAAAAAGATACAAAGAAATGATGATGTGGTTACTGGTGAAAATGAGAAGAATTTCCAGAGCACATTTTTAAACCAAGGACCAAGTCATAAAAGTGATTTATAGAAGCAATGTGTAGCAGCTACAGAGTTTCTCATTAGTCAATGACATGTCTGTGTTGCAGAAACTCCAATTAATTTGTTGCTCAGTTGCTGAATGAAATACATTTTGCGGTATTTGGAGCTAGTGGAAGAATCCCCAGCTTCAGAAGCTATGCGTGTTATTCAATGCAACTACTGATGGCAATGGAGTTGTCCTGATTTATAGCTGCCTAGATAAGCATTGTAGTCGGTTACAACTTTAACTCTGTATTCAGCAACAAATTGTCATAGAAAACAAGCTTTGTAGTGGCTACAAATTTCTGTCAGAAAGTTTCTAGTGTGACATTACTCCTTGGGGCTTATTTACATTGGTCCAGGTTCATGCAGCAAAACCCAG